TCTGTGCAGTACTTCTACATCATCTTGCAATGCATTCCCCATACAAAAAGTTTGCATAAACTTGCAATACTTTATGGGATAACTGTTGAACCAGACAACAGCATCAATGAAACGGACACTGCACCAACATCTGAGGTTCATTGATTATTATTATGAAACTGGATATAAGGATATTCAGTCTGTGATCACCAAAAAGAAAAAAAAAACACATATCAGTGAGCAACATTAAAAAAGAATACTTGGTGCAAAAGGACAAAGTTGTCACAATGATTATTCATTCTGGCTTGGTTATGTAAGGTAATGTAAAAGTATCCCCAATGTTTCCTCTGCGACTCCGTAGATTCTTATTGTCTTGGTGTAATTTATGAAAGAACTGAATGAGGAAGTCAATATGTCACACCTCTGATTCATCAAGCGAGGTAGTGGCAGATAACATATGACACACAAAAGGCTAAGGCTAAGTTAGGTAGCTACATAGCTGTAGCATTTAAGGCATTGTGTCCTGAATGTGTTTTGCAGTGATATAAGATATTCTGTGCAAATGGGATTTGCCTATTGCAGATTTTATTCATAATGCCTTACATTAATGCCACTGTGTTCAACACCATGCCTTTTTGCAAGGTGTTGAACACAGTTTGCATTGGATTCATTTCACCTGATTTCTGCTTAACCTTGAATAAAGTGGTATTTGAGAAATTCTTTCTTTTTTTATTCTAAATTCTTTAACTTTGTGGCTCAAGTTAACATTCTTCTTATCTTGGGTAAAAATGTACTTTCTGGAATAGTGGCACAAAAGAGACAGGTTCAGGATTGTCACATTATGTTTAATAAAAKATACCAGAAGAATTGACTAAACAGTAAGACGGTGCAAACAAATAATACGACAGAATAAAGCAGGGGTTTCCAATCCTGGTTGTCGAGGACCCCTGTCCTGCATGTTTTAGAGCAGGCGTGTCAAACTCAGTTACACACGGAGACCAAAATTCAAAACTTGGTCCAATCCAAGAGTCGGTTTCTGTCAATATTTATTGAAGAAAAAATACACAACAATTCTTTAAATATTATAAATTATCTTTTCTGTAGCATTTAGAACATACATAACGTAACATAAAGAATAAATGTAGATTTTAAAATGACGTCATCATCAATCATTTCTTTAGCCTTTACACTCTATCAGCATTTAATTTATTGTATTTTAGACATGCATTTTATTACAACCCATCAAATCAGATAAAAAAAACCTCCATAAAAATGTATCATTTGACTAATAAAGAATACAGAAAAAAGATCATAAAATTGATTCTCCTTTGCTTTCTCCACATCAATATCAAAAATTGCTGAAAAATGTGAACTTGATTTTGTCCTGATACATCTCAGTAATCC